TGTGATGAGAAGCGTCTGACAGGAAAATGATTAAAATGCTTTAGATGTCAAGCTACGATCAGTCTGTCAGTGGAAAATGAGTTTGTACCGTCTCCCTGTCCACATCTATCTCCCAAATGAAGCTATATTTTAAGCAAGCAACAGCATTCAGCTCATTAGGAAAACCTTTTATATGATGTCTGTAGACCTTTTCAATCGTTTAGTAATAAAAAAAATAACTTGATGACGCTTCTCCATTCGTTCTAGTTCACGCATCTAAACCACAGTGAGCGATTCACACCCGCGACTTCAATAATCTTCAATAAACTTCGACAGACTTCAGTAACACGGGGAAACTCTCGTGAGCAGGGAAACGCTGGTGTGTAGGTGTGATTTGATGTAAACAAATTGCTGCTAAAGCTGGACCACATTATAAACCGTACATCATATCCTCTGCTTCTTAGTGCTTTCGCACTATGACATTATTGCCATATCTTTCCGTGCAAATAACAAGTATATACCCTGAAGATTTAGATTTGTTTGTTTACTTGGTGTGAGAATAATATAATGTCAATGATGTGTCTCCATTCATTCTAGCCCTTTAAGATGATTAGAAATTGTTCAACCATTTAAACCATTCTGAATGATTCACACACGTACTGAAAATACTGCCAAAGGCACGTGTTTAACTCACCTGATGTCTAGAAAATCTTGCCAATTTCATTCAGTGACAACCAAAGACGTGACCAGATATAGCTCCATAGCAGGAGTCTGTTTTTGCCATTGCATGTGAATATGAAGACTGGACTTGCTGTAAAGTTATTTCATAATGTCCTTTATTTGGCCTTTATAATGCGCCTTTGTCCTCCACGTTGTATTTTCATTAATGGAAGACAGGAGTTGCCCGTACTGAAACGTGGTCTTGGGGAATCAAGTGTCTCGGCTGAATGCATCACAAGCAAGATCCGAAGGACTTTTACATTTCTGGAGGTGATCTGTTTTCTCTCTTTTGAAAAAGTTCCAGCCATTAACCCCACCTGCCAATATTTTGTACAAATTGGCTTCCTGTGGATTCCTCAAACCGAGTGCTGCTTGGCAAGACGTGCCTCCATGTTGCTGGTGATTGTTTATTGGAGGATAGAGCAGACGAGAATAGATGGGAATATTTCCGTTTAGCAGAACAGCCACTCGCTTCTGCTGACATCCTGGAACTTGAGCGACTTCGCGGCCACCTGGAGCGGACACGCGTGCACACGCACTAGCCTACAGCTAACAGATTTAAAGAGGTCAATTTAAATTAGAAAACAAATTTTAGATGATAAACGTAGATTTTAAATTCAATATTGTTTTGTACAGAATTGTTGAACGTCTATACAGTATGTAATGCGAGTACATCATAAGTAACTGTAACTACATTACTTAAAAATGAAGAGTAATCCCTGACTTTACTTTTTTCAGGGGAAAAGTCATTTAATTAAAGTAACGTGTGTAACCCAGAATAGTTGGGATGAAACTGAGAAAGAGTTTACACGTCATTTTACATGTACGTGATCAATGGCCTTGGCGTAGTGTCCCACATCATCTATAACACTTAGTTATGGGAGGATTTTTCAGTTATCTGGTTACTGTAAAGTCCCCAGAGTATGTGATGCTCCCAGTTCCCTGTCCTAGTTTGTAGCTACATTATTGCCAGGAGAAGCCAGGAGGATCAGATTTCAGACTACACAATCAGTCCTTCAGTGGAAAATGAGAATGTTTGAGTGTGTGCTTGTGGCCTGTTCACATCTCTCTCCCCATGAACATATTGAGAGATGATCGTTTCTTTCTCCATCATGTTTTAAACTTTTCCAGATCTTCTCCTTTATGCATTCTGGGCCACTGGGAAGAAATCATAATTCTCCTGAGACTCCCAGTGAAAACAAATAACAGATCAGATCAGAGTTGCGATCAACATCACAGATGGACAAAACGTCTTTAGACAGAGTCTAAAGACACCATGACATGTCTTACACGTTAAGCATTACCTTAGAGATTGTGGAGCCATTGTGTGTTTCCTCTAGTGTCTCTGCGTGAAGGATCTCATTAGTATCAACGTTCCGGCAGGTCTGGAGCTTTATCTGCTGCTCTGCAGGTCAGAAGAACACGGGTTGCATTGAATGGGCCTCCAGAGAGAGATCACAGTGATGACGTTGGTAAAGCCTGGCTTCTCTCTCCCTCAGACACTGGCGCTAATTAGATCCCAGTTCCTGCAGTCGCTGAACACAAAGACACAGGAAGGGTCTGCCACTGCAGAAGTGGGAAGTGTGGAAGCACAATGTGTGTGTGAGCTTCAGATGAGAAACCATCTCTTTTCATTTTGAGCTCAAGGGTAGTTAGCGGCATAAGTGATGTGAAGCTTCTGTCAGATTCAGCTGTGAACTGACACGCTCTCCACAATGCACTCATCCTTATTACATGTTGTCGCTGATAAATAATCCAATTTAGCTCATTTTTTTGTCATCACATGTCATGTGTAACCAGGTCTTACATGTTGTTTGTCGAAGGGGAAACACTAAAGGCTAAGGTGGGATTCAACCCCACAAGGCCACGGAGGCTCATGGAACTGCAAAGCCTGCAGAACCTACAAAATCTCCTTCTACTATCTTCTCCCTCACATTCTTCCTCTCACACAAAACAGAAGTGAGAGCAGTGTAGCATGATGTGACAAGATGTCTGCGACAGACTGAACAGACGAGCGCTGTGTCTTAAATTGCATACTTATATACTATTCTAAACATTTTACTATCAGTTAAACATTTTTCCAGAATTACTACTGAAACTACTGTTTTTTTTTTTGTTTGTTTTTTTATACGTCACGATCTTCTGGAACCTCTAGATTAGTAAATACTTTCTCGATTTGAGACGCAGCTCATGACGTCAATGTTTTAAAGAGAAAGAAGCAGAGCTTGTCTGCGTGTTTAACATTTCCATGCTGCTGTGCAGAGACAAATATGTGTCTCAGAACAGTTGGCATGAAATTAATAAACGTTTTTCAGGTCACCATGGAAACCAGTCGGACAGGGATGTTTCGGCTCCGACATGCCCTCTAGTGCATATCGCTTTTAATTACACAGATGTACAAAAAGGTATGCAGGCGAGTGTGTGTGTATAACAGTGTGTAACACTTAGTCATGCCTTAGTGTAAGAGACTTACTTCAGTTATCAAGTTATTACAGTGCTGTTTAAGGGAAATACGTGGCCTACTGGTTAGAGAGTCGGACTTGGAACCCAAAGGTGAACCTGAAGGTCGTGGGTTTGGGTCTCAGGCCAGCAGGGATTGTAGATTGGGGGAGTGAATGACCAGTGCTCTCTTCCACCCTCAATACCACCTCACCATGACTGAGGTGAGACCCTTGAGCAAGGCACTGAACCCCCAAAAAGGCTGCCTGTGGGTGTGGGTGTGGGTGTGGGTGTGGGTGTGTTCACTACTGTGTGTGTGCGCACTTGGATGGGGGATCACCATACTTGGCCACACGTCACATCACTTCACTACTAGAAAGAAGTGAACAGAAAAGTCTGGAAAAGCTTTAAATGTCAACCTACACACTCAATCATACATAGGTGTGTTTGTGAGTGAACCTTCCTGCCTCTTTCTCTGGAGGTATTGAGGGATTAACCTTTCCCTCGTGGTTATATTTCAAACTATTCCAGCAGATGTTCTCATCTCTCTGATGCATTCTGGGCCACTGGGATACAGAGGTCACGTTCAGACCCAAAGCTTAAAATACTGGTTATGTATCACTCCACTGAGACGCCTGATAAAAATAAATAAATAAAAAATCCAGAGCTCCAATCAGCACACTTTATTCAGTGGTGTCAGTAAAGCGGATCTGATCTGATCTGTTTCTCTTCTCGTTTCTTCCATTGCACGTCCTCCTTTACTTTCCTTGCCATGCCTATTTGTGTTTTGAGGACACGCGAAAAGAATGCATGGAAAGGAAACAAGGACAGAGAAATCGAGCGTATGTACGAGGCGTCCTCACTCACTGACATCGCACTGAAATAATCAGTGAGAAAATGATCTGTTTGAGGTGCTACTCTATCGTCGTTATCGCACTTTCAGCAGAGTTTGATTGCGAACCGCTTTTATCCCCGAGCGCTGCTGAATCCTGGATTCTGATTGGTCAGAAGATATGGAGCAATTTTCGAATATATTATCTTGTCTATAGTAACAGCTCCGCATAAACCGATTAACTAACACATATTATCATTGATATCTGTAAGGAGATGTTTATGTAACATTTGTGTGTGGAAGGAGTCTCCAGTGTCGGCGCTTTGTAACAGTCAGAGGTAAAACTGTAACTTTAAGTTTTGTTTTATTTTTTTACTCAACTGCTGTTTTGTAGGTCTTTGTGCATTCAAATAAAGGGAATGATCCAGATGTTAACCGGGGCTGCCTCTATGCAGATGGTGCTTATTTATGGGTGCATACAGCAGTTTTCTCTGGCACTTCTTTATGTTTCACACTTTCTGCTGTTTCAGTAAGTGCTGAATTGCTGAAATGATGCGTAATGTCATATAATGGGATTTTAGCACGTGTTAAATTGTTATGCTTAAGAGAGTATGCTTGTATCTTGGGATTATAGTGTATGTGTATTTAACCACGTGTGCAGCACATGAATAATGACGATAAACGTAAATGGGATGAAATCGAACTCCGGGACATCTAAGCTTTAATTATAAAGAATATCCAGTATGTAGTTCCATGATGATCTGAAGACCTTAGACTTGAGGTTCAACTGCTTCATAATGTGTATCATGTGATCTTCATAATGTGTATCATGTGATCTAAATGGCTGATGCCTTAGCCATTAGGCCACTGGGCCACATAAATGCTTGTTCTTTTAGTCCAATCCACATCTCGTGAGAGTTCTTTTTGTAGGTTCTCCGCCATATTTCTACATTTTTCACTTTCTTTAGTTCATCCTTATAATGCAGTATCCTCTAGAGTAGACAAATCTCTTCAGTGAGTAACAAAATAGCAACCCAAATGGGACTTAAACCCATAACCCCCAGCTCCGGAAGCTGACGCCTTAGCCATTAGGTCATTGGGCCACGTAACCACATACCTAATAAGCCACACTGGAGCTTCTTTAAGTGCTGCTCATCCAAAAACACTGTGAACCTTATGATGGTCCAATGCATTTCTAATATACCCTGTTTTTATATATCACTCACTGAAGAGTAAGACCGCTGCTGCTAAGTCATAACTCTGCCATGTTGTTCATTGTTGCATTGTTTCAAGGTCATTAGACTCGATATTGTACGCCTCAGTTAGTCTTTTAACTGGGTCATGTTCATGTTCAAACCTAGAGCTAAAAATACTATCTATTCATCACTCCCCTGAGACACTCAATAAAAACATGTACCACATCAGCGTGTTTTCTTATTCTTCTTATTACTTCGTTTCATACTTTATAGATGGTTTTAATAAAGCAGATCTGTTACTGGATCAAGTAATGAACTGGAATCTGTTTAGAACATTTACTCAAGTGTTTGGAATAATGGTTGAATAGAGCGTTGGTTAATTTTAGTTTTTGGTTAGTTTCCTGTTTTCTTCTCCAGGTTTTCCATTCTTTGACCCAAATACTTCTGGATTAATGGATTAACAATACATATTCTTTGAGCCAATTCAACTAAAGGACAGCTAGCTGCTTTTGCATTCTTTTTTCCCAAAGACACCATCTGTTTTTACTTTCAGCTGGGATAGCTCTGTGATAACCAGCACCACAGGAAGGATTCAATCCCACAATCCCCAGCTCCAGACAACTTATCCACCGGGCCACTAGGCCACACGCAAGCATTTCTTACAGCACAGTCCACAGTTAGTGGAGATTTCCTTGTACCGTGATCACACTTTATTGCTGCACTGATGTTTCATCTGTTGTTTTATTTAATCTCTGCATGCTGTTTGCTGCTGTTCTCAACCTGCTCCAACACACGTACTAAATTTCATGTGGTCCATTTTTACTCTTCTCATAATAGAAAGAATGTATTGGTTTCAGATAATGCGCTTGAGCTTGAATCTCTTATTCTTCGGTTGGTCTATAATAATGTTTTTTGTCATCCACATGCCTTTGTTTCGATTTTTGAAATGCTCTTTAGCAAGAGACAGAGACAGCAATGCCTCCCAGTTCTGGAAGCTGGGCCATATGCGGATAATGCTGCACTGAACTTATGGAATTGAATTCTGTTATTCTCATGCTTCATATTCTTGCAAATCGTTGAGCTGAGTTACATTGAATCAACCTCCAGAAGGTTCCTCTAGTGTTTCTAGGTGAAGGATCTCATTTGTATCAGTGTTCTGGCAGGTCTGGAGCTTTATCTGCTGGTCAGAAGAACACGGGTTGCATTGAATGGGCCTCCAGAGAGAGATCACAGTGATGACGGTGGTAAAGCCTGGCTTCGTTCTCTCTCAGACACTGGCGCTAATTAGATCCCAGTTCCTGCAGTCGCTGAACACAAAGACACAGGAAGGGTCTGCCACTGCAGAAGTGGGAAAAGTGGAAGCACAATGCTGTATGTATGAGCTTTGTTCAAGGCTCTGGATGTGTGTGCAGATGAATGCAATAAACAACATTCTTAATCTTAACGTGATGTTGAGCTCAGGGGTATGAAGACGCAGAATTAATGTGATGCCAAGACTCACCAGCTGGGACTGTGTAGCTCTCTGGCTCATTACAGTCCATCAGATGTTTTAATAAGCCAAGACGATGTGTGATGGATCATTCGGAAAAGGTTAATTTGCTTTTTTGACCACACATGTGAACTTGATTAGAATAACTGGATTGAATTTCCTGAGCTAGTTGTGATGGGAATAGGTGTGATAAGCAAGCTCGGAGAGTTTTTAGGGGTCCAAGCACTTTTTCATATGCAATTGAGATTAGTGTGGTAACAAGATTAAGTCATGTGCCCGCATTTTTGGTCCATTTGTCCTTTTAGCTATAGAAAAATATCATGTCAAGTGTAAACTCCAATCTAATGAGTACTCATGGAGAATTCTTGGTTCATTTGAGTAAACGATCATTACTTTTGCTGTGTTGTGGTCAGCCTGGGACACCATGCTCATGTGTTAATTACATTCCTCTTCTCGCCCCTCCCTGCTGGATGTACAGTACACAATAAGCCAGTAGCAGCTCATGTTTTCTAAACCTAAACACAGTTGATATCAGCAGTACAACACTAGAGGGAGTCATGACCCAGATGGGACTTGAACCCACAATCTCCAGCTCCGGAGGCTGATGCCTTATCCATTAGGCCACTGGGCCACAGAAAGGCTCATTCTTTTAGTCCAATCCACAGTTAGTGTCTGTTAGGCTCTCCTTGTAACTTGACCACACTGCCTTGCTGCACTGTTATAAAAAAAGTAACTAAACTAACTAAATAAGAAACTATACCATAGTAATGCAGGTGAGACTCAAACCTACAACCTTTAATTCCATACCCCAATGTCTTATCTATTAAGCCAAAGCTTTCAAAGCCATGATACCAGAGATCCGGCACTTAGCACATTTTGGTGTTTTGCTTCCTCTAGTTCATCCAGTTCAACCTAGTTCAGGCTTGTTAATTAGCTATGTTGAATCAGGTGAGTTGTGAGCAGGAAAAACACAGAAGTATGTACGGTGGTGGTTCTCCAGGACCAGACCTGCGTCCCAAAACTGATTCATACTTGATTTCTCGATACTGCATCGTTCAGCCCATGACCTGGAAATCAATGAAGCCTACTGTGTTTAAGTAAGTACCAATTCTTAATCACTTTGGGATCAAGAATACACCAGTGTGTAAACCAGTCATTACAGCAGGGAAATACATCATCAGTACATTTACTCACTAAAGCAGCTTTAAAGTGATGCTTCAGTGAGCAACAATGTCTCCTTCAGTAGAAAACGTCGTTTGATTCTTCTTGCCCTCATTTTCTTTCCTTGCATCCTTTCCCCTCTTCCTCAGAGGGAGGAGATAAGAAGGGAAACTTGGAGGCACAATTAAAGCCTGAGAAATGCTGCGCCTGTAAGAGTTCAAGGTGTGAATTAATGATTATTACAGTTATCAAACCCACATTCTCAGTTCAGAGATCATTGGATTTCTGCTGATGTGACCCAGTTTCCTATGATTGAGGTAATGTTTCTTGAGCTTTTCTTTATAGGAAGCAACTGAACATGTGTATAGCTAAAGCACTACGACAAAGCAGCGACCCAGGTGGGACTTGAACCCACAATCCCCAGCTCCGGAGGCTGATGCCTTATCCATTAGGCCACTGGGTCACAGTTTTGCTGGAGCTTGTGTATTTCCTGGAATGTGCCTGTATTTATAAATTTAAGTGTATGTTACAGTAGCTGCATTAAGAATTTCCTCTTAGTAACAAAATACAAGAGAACATGGAGGTATAGGGATCGTCTCTCTGTTTCTCTGTCTCTCGTCCCCCCCCCCCCCCCCCCTTATTTATTGATCTACCTCTTTTGGTCGTGTCCCTGAAAAGCCTCTGCAGCTCACACTCACCCCGTATCTCACTCTGCTTCATCAGACCTGCTGGGAAATGCAAGCTGTTTTAATATATGCTTTTAATATGGATGTGTGTGTGTGTGTGTGTGTGTGTGAGAACATCTGAACATCTGTTCAGGCTTGCAGCATGCTCAGCTCTTCGTCTCCGTCATCCAACCTGCTGTGTGTGTGTGTGTGTGTGTGTGTGTGTGTGTGTGTGTGTGTGTGTGCTTGCACTTCGCTATACCTGTACGACAGGGCTATACATCTTCGTTACACACACACAGCCATACTTATGCGATCACACACACTCTAGCCTGTATTTCTCCGAGCCATCGATGGCCTGTTACGGTTTTATAGCCGTTCTTTCAGGTTCAGGCTGGAATGTTGATCAGGAGAGAGAGAGAAAGAGCATGTGTTGGCGTTTTTAACCCCTTCAGTACAGCTTTAAAATGTGTGGGTCGTATTCGACAAGTTAAGCACATGTAGCGAGGACTGGATTAACACCAGAACCGTGCACATCTGTATTCAGACCTCAGACACGACTACAGATTTCTCTATTCTGACATGGAGGACATTGAAGGCGACGCATTTTAACCAGAGACACTGCTGATCTTAAGGAGTGATTTTTATGGACAAAATTATGAAGGGACTTCAGGTTTCTCTGTAAGTGAAGCACACGAGCGCTCGGTGAGATTATCCGTCAAAGTGCTTTTCTTCTCTTTACAGCAGAGCGCATCGGATTAACACCAACGTTGGGATCATTTTATTAATTTGGCAATTTAAAAGAGTGAATTATATGCACTTATAGTGCGATAAAACCACCTACACAAACCATTCACAAATCATTCTACACAAACATTACAAATTTATGACCTCAGTCTGAGCATGATATAAAATAAATGCAGTAAAATGCACACCATGAAAATGGCTAAACTAATAAAATCCAAACCCGAGCTGTGTAGTCAACACGTCTGTGTGTATGTGTGTGTGTGTGTGTTTCACCAGCAGGAAGGAGATCATTAATCTTGCATTTTAATCTTTCCTCCCGTGTACACCAGCAGCAATTAGCTTCAGATAAACTGAATTTCCTATTTCATCTCTTGGGAGTGTGTGTGTGTGTGTGTGTGTGTGTTAATCAGTGTTTGATTCTACACAGTCTCTTCCCATTTGTTGAGCTCTGTTTCATTCCATAATGACACAACAATCTGAAGTCAGTGATCTCTATCACACCGTTCAACAACATTCATGGTTTTTTTATTACTTATTGCAACAATTAACACATTACCCCACAGTGAGGGGGTGTTGATGAATTCTCTAGAACAGCAGCTCGGACAGTAGTGCAGCTGCAGACCACAGGCTGATATTAATGCGCTCGTTCTGATACGTTATCGTTTCTATGGTAACGGCTCATTCACAGGGACGTGAAGTTTTCTGAAAGGAGAAATGTGTTTATTTAGCATTCATGGAAGGAGTCTCCAGTGTCAGTGCTTTGTAACAGTCAGAGCTAAAGCTAGTGTTGTCTCATTCTCAGCCTACGAAGACTCGAAATGTCGAAACACCACCCGAGACCACAA